TGTTTAGTAGAGACGGAGTTTCACCATGTTGGCCATGCTGGTCTCGAACTCCTGACCTCAGGTGATTCCCGCTGCCTCAGCCCCACCAAGTGCTGGGTTTACAGGCGTGAGTGTCAGGCACTTCCATAGGCACTGGAGTAGGACAGTAAACAAAGATAAAATCCCTGAACTCTTCTCTCAGACATCTTCTCATAGAGAAAGATGGACTATAAAGTACATTAAGCCAGTAACAGAGTACGTGGATTGTGAAGAGTGCTATGAAAAAAGTAAAGATGTGAAAGAAGAGTGATGCGTGGACAGAGTGGTCAGCAAAGGTCTCTGTGCAAAGGCCACATTGCACAGAGTAAAACAAGTGAGGGAGTGAGCTGATGGATTGCCCGCAGCTTGAGAACCACCTGGTATCATCCACAATTTTAGGGCGCAGAATTCATCCAGAATGGGAGTCATCCACTGATAATTTTTTAAAAATACTGTCTAGAGTATTCTAATGTTTATCTAGGAAATGTGCTTTCAAATATAAAGGCTTTGGCTTCAACTCTCAGCGACAGCTATTGGGTGAAGAAGTTGCATGAACTTATGCATTACATCTCCCTCATCTCCCTCTGATTTACAAGTAAAGAAGACTAAAGATAGCATGAGGGGAAACAGGGAGACTAAATAGGAGGCTGCTGCCTGTGGCATGAGGAGAGGTAGCAGGGTTTCATTGGATATGATGACAAATAGTCAGTTGAGCTAACTGTTGAAGATGGAGCCCACAGAATACCATTCTTATGCATAATATCCCTAGCCCCTAGAACAGGAGGTCCACTTCTATTTATTTATTTAATCAGATTTCATCAGGACAATTCCTTGTACTCCCCAACATGGGAGTTTGTTATATGCCTGGCCCCTGCAGGCATCTGAGTTTGCAGTGCTCTCCAGGTGCCCTGATGGCTCCATAGTGAAGTGCTTCTTTTTTTTTTTTTCTTTTGAGACAGAGTTTCGCTCTTGTTACCCAGGCTGGAGTGCAATGGCGCGATCTCGGCTCACCGCAACCTCTGCCTCCTGGGTT